GTAACAGTAGTAGTAGTAGTAGTAGTAGTAGTAGTAGTAGTTGTAGTAACAGTAGTAGTAGTCGTAGTAGTAGTCGTAGTAACAGTAGTAGTAGTAGTAGTAGTTGTAGTAACAGTAGTAGTAGTAGTAGTAGTTGTAGTAGTAGTAGTAGTAGTAGTAGTAGTAGTAGTAGTAGTTGTAGTAACAGTAGTAGTAGTAGTAGTAGTAGTAGTAGTAGTTGTAGTAACAGTAGTAGTAGTCGTAGTAGTAGTAGTAGTAGTAGTAGTAGCGTGAGTGAAGACGCTGCACCAAACTCTGAAAAACTTCTCAAAAAGAACTTACTCGACTTCATATTCAGTTAAACTTCAGTCTTACAATGAGACGCCGCGGAAAAAGACTCGTGCACAAAACACTCCACCACAAAAACTCGTGCCCTACTCGTGCACCAAACTCGTGAACCCTACTCCTGCACCAAACGGAGCCCGACTCGTGCACCAAACGGAGCCCAGCTCGTGCACCAAACGGAGCCCGACTCGTGCACCAAACGGAGCCCTACTCGTGCACCAAACGGAGCCAAACGGAGCCCGACTCGTGCACCAAACGGAGCCCAAACGGACTCGTAGCCCGACTCGTGCACCAAAAACCAAACGGACCCGACTCGTGCACCACGGAACTCGGAAACCCTACTCGTGCACCAAACGGAACCCTACTCGTGCACCAAACGGAACTCGTGCACCAAAAACGGAACCCTTCTCGTGTACCAAACGGAACCCTACTTGTGCTCTGTGAGAGTCCGACTCTGACAATACTTCATGGAAAAATGTTTGGACATTACCAGGGAGAGAAACACACTCGGGGAAGTAAAGGAAAAGTCTGATAGTATCAAAGTGGAGTGTGTGCGTGAGTGAGTGATGATGGTCGGAGGGGCCGATGGCGCAGATTGGCAGCCTCGCTTTCATCAGTCTGCCCCAGGGCAGCTGTGGCTACAGTAGTGGTTTATCACCACTGGGTCTGGAGTGAATGAAGAATGAACTGTAAACTGTGTCTTTTAGTGTCCAAAAAAGTGTTTTATAAAACTGATGCATTATTATTATTATTCTTCTAGTGTGACTACAGGAGCTGATTGACTCGTGGCTTCAGTTCGGTGAATGAAACTAAAGTTCACTTCACTTACTGAGCCTCATTAGATGAAAGAGGAATTTACTGAACATTACACTGAGGAACTGCCTGTGCGCTCAGCTTTAGATCCACACTCCACTTTAGTCCGTTTTTTCAAGGTAATCAGTTTCCTAGAGTTTTTTAGTTTTGTTTGTTTGTTTTCTAGTAAGGCTGACTGATTAAATGTTCCAGTGTGGTCACCTTCTCCAGGACAGTCGTCTCTGCCGGGGATGTACAGCCTGTAGCCCCACTGGACCTCCAGGCGCTGGGGCAGGAGCTGCAGGCAGAAGAGGTCCAGCTCAGAGGAGACCAGCTCAGAGGAGACCAGGTCAGAAGGGTAGAGGCAGGTGACCATACCATCGTAGAGCTTCTCATCAGTCACTGCAGGCGTAAGTGAGAACAGATCATTATGAGCGAGATACAAAAACTGTCCACAGAATCCAAAAGCTTCAAAACATTTTATTCACTGCCCCCGTCACACCCCTTAACCGGTGTCATACTATATAGTGTCATTTTGTAACATTTTGGTTAGTGGTGTGCCGCAAGATTTTTCCAATGTAAAAAACGTGCCGTGGCTCAAAAAAGGTTGAGAAACACTGCTGTAACGAACCGAAGCACAAATGTGGATTTAACCAGGATTTGTAGAAGAAATTCCACACTTTCCGTTGCGTTGGGACAAGTGTGAGTCCATGTGCACAGTGGATAAAGCAGCACATATGTTTCTGTGTCCAGTGGGAAAAAGTTTTTCCAGGTGAGAGTCGCTCAATGTGGATGACGAGGCCCCGCCCCCCTCCCCCCGTACGCTGTCCTGGTTTTGACAAACACAAATCTGGTCACACTGACCTGTATTCACCTGAGTCATGTCTTTTAATCCAACACAAGTTGAACCACATCAGCGACACAAGAGCTGGAGTTTTATCTTCACTTAGTTTATGTAAATTAGTGATGTGGTTTTAAGTTTTGTTTCTGTGAGATTTGAACAAAACTGAATTAAACACATTATAATGTCAAACAGCTGATGTGGATCTAGAGTCGTTATGTTTATATGTCGTAAAGTTGAATTTATTGATGCAGATTAGTGCAGATAGAAATAATAATGATGATCATTTTAATATAAAAACGTTAATGATTAATTGATAATCGATCGTTAATTCTTCCAACGATCGATTAAGAAAATTTCATCAAATGCCCATCACTAATTTACACACACATTTACACTGAAGTTCCACAAACCTACAGCGAGTACTTCAGGCATTGTGGAAAAGGTCTATAGATCCAGTTATGTGTGTGTGTGTATAGTGTGTGTGTGTGTGTGTGTGTGTGTGTGTGTGTATATAGTGTGTGTGTGTGTGTGTGTGTGTGTGTGTGTGTGTGTATAGTGTGTGTGTGTGTGTGTGTACAGTGTGTGTCAGTACCGTGGTGTGTGCTGCAGCGCCCCCTCAGGTCTCGGTGGAGCAGCAGCAGCTCCACTCTGCAGTAGAACACGGAGACAGAGACGAGCAGCAGAACCAGAACCAGACCCAGACTCCAGCCCAGGAGCCCAGGCAGAGGACTGGGGGCCGCTACAACAACACAACACACACAGAGTCAGACACAGACGCACAACAACAACACAACAACACACACAGAGTCAGACACACAACAACAACAAAACCAACACACACAGAGTCAGACACAGACGCACAACAACAACCCTACCAAGTTAGTCCTGGCACAACAACCACACACCTGAGTAGAGGACCTGGTTCAGTCCTGGTTTACTGGTTTAATTTAGTCCTGGTTTAGTCCCCAGTCCAGTCCAGTCCTGGTTTAGTCCACATTGTCCTGGTTTAAGTCCTGGTTCTGGTTTAGTCCTGGTTCCTGGTTTAGTCCTGGTTTAGTCCTGGTTTAGTCCTGGTTTTAGTCCTGGTTTAGTCCTGGTTTAGTCCTGGTTTTAGACCTGGTTTAGTCCTGGTTTTAGACCTGGTTTAGTACCTGGTGTGAGCCACAGTTGGCCCTGGTCATTTCCCACAGGATTTTCCACGCAGCAGGAGAACGAGACGCCCAGGAGCCCGACGTGGACGCGAGAGATGGACAGAGTGGACACGCCCACAACTCGCCCGCCGTCCTGCACACTGACGCACAACGGACGCACAACAGACGCACAACAGACACACACACAGACACACACACAGACGCACACACAGACGCACACACAGACGCACACACAGACGCACACACAGACGCACAAACACACACACGGTTTGGTCAGATTGTGTTACACTTGAATCTGATTAAGCTTCATTTTAACAGTACGTTCAAAGCGTCTGGTTTATATTCACACAAATCCCAAATCTGATTTTTTGTCTCTTTGTTTCTGTATCTGATCTTTTAATGTCTGAACCACACAGATCTGATGTTTTCAAACATGACCCAGGACACTTGGATCTGTGCTCCTGAAACTGATCCATATCTGATCTTTAACATGTGACTTCAGTGTGAACAGTCAGGTCACATTCATCCACCTACACGTCATCAACAAGACACAAATGTACACAAACATTTTTCTCGTCACACGAAAACTGTTAATAAACTCTGTGTGACTGAAGTGAAGCACATCTCCACTCACCACAAAACACCACCACCAAAAACCTGGTCCTTCTCCTTCTCAATCTCCTCCTTAAAACAAGTCAGTTGTTCATGTTGTGGCTCCGGTACGAGAGGAACTTTAAAATCTCCAGGTGCTCGATGCTGCGTCCATGTTTGTTCAACTTGTGTAAACACAGAGACGCTCGCTGCGGTTGACGTCGTCGTGTCTCCAGTGTCACATGTGGGACACTTTTGGGACCGTTTAATGTTCACACTGGAGTCACACACAAGTCACATTTAACTGGAAATGTGAACGACCTCGAAAAAACATCAGATTTCACAAAAAAATTTGAATTGAGCGTTAAACCTGCGGTCTGGACATCACCTGTGTGGACGTGCGTCTGGGGCGTCCTGAGCGTTCAGTCATTGGCGTTAGAAGCTGAAAAAACTCTTCTTCAGCATTGACTGTCCAGTGATGTAGCAACGTTATGATCCAAAAGAAGGAGAAAAAAAGAGAAAGCCCCGGGAACAGGAGCCACGAGCCACAAACACCAGAACAAGAAAAACTACACCAGTGTCATTAGTGGAGTATAAATATAAACATGACGCCGCCGCCGCCGCCGCTGATGGTTTATGTCATAAAAACACTCAAGTCTCTCAGTCTGGTCCATCTGTCCAGGAAAAGACGGGAAATATTTCCAGGGCATCAGACGCCCTGGACACAGAGTCCTGCACAGGTCCATTTTTGGAGACCCACACCCACCTGCACCAGCACCACACCCGCCCGCACCTGCCCGCACCAGCACAGTCCAGCACCGCACCCGCCCACACCCGCCCGCACCTGCACCACACCCGCCCGCACCAGCACAGTCCAGCACCGCACCCACACCACCCGCACCAGCCCGCACCAGCACCACACCGGCCCGCACCTGCCCGCACCTGCCCGCACCTGCCCGCACCTGCCCGCACCAGCACCACACCCGTCGTTAACCCGGGATTATATCAAAGTTAAATCCACACCCACCTGGACCCGATAACATTCCACCTGTTACTCTCCTGTGCCCACGATAAATTCAAGGTGTGTGTGTGTGTGTGTGTGTTGTGTGTTGTGTGTGTGTGTGTGTGTGTGTGTGTGTGTGTGTGTGTGTGTGTGTGTGTGTGTGTGTGTGTGTGTGTGTGTGTGTGTGTGTGTGTGTGTGTGTGTGTGTGTGTGTGTGTGTGTGTGTGTGTGTGTGTGTGTGTGTGTGTGTGTGTGTGTGTTGTGTGTGTGTTGCGTGTGTGTGTGTGTGTGTGTG